GTTAGCAGCACCGCTAACGGCTAACCAACAGGAGGAGAGCTAGTAACCTTTAGTTACCTTTTTGTAGCGTGATGATAAACCTACTTCCTGAAAGCATCTTAGACTTGTTTGTACTCGGGGTTTCCCCCCCAGGTCATCGTCTAGCAGGGGCGCTGTGTGACTGAGTGAGTCGTCACAGGTTTCACACCTCGAGGTTCATGTATTCATACCATGTTTCTCTGTCTGCTGCTCTTCCTAAGGCTTCACTCCTCCTGTTTCCTCCTCCAGGCATTTGGCTCCTCCTCCCTTTCTTCACCTCCCTCGTCTCCAGTCTGGCCGTCACAAAGTCCTCGTCACACACAGAACCCGAGAGTCAACCTGTTCTGCATGCTGCCACTCTTCCTCACCCTCCTCCTCATCCTCAGCCCGACACCAAACATCCTGCACACGAGGTTGTGTGTGTGTGTGTGTGTGTGTGTGTTATTTGCAGATGCTTTAGATCCTCAAAGTTCTTCCCTGATGTGTCTTTGTCTCCAGTTCTTCATTTACATGTTGCAGTTCTGCACAATGCACAATGCAGTATTTATGTATTGTTTAAAAGAGGGACATTAAACATTCAGACTGTGAGACTGACAGCAGAAGGAGACTGGAGGAGAAGGAGGTGTAGCTCACTTTACGGTTGGTTGTAGTTCTTTGTCCAGGAACCTCCTTCTTCTTTTAAGGATTTAAAAGCTCACACGAGGAATCAATGTTACTATTTAACTGACTGTAGTTATCTATTTTCTACATATTTTATTCTGTTCAGCATCTTTGAAATTATTATTATTGACGTTACATTTGTGATAAAGGTTTTTGTCTCAGCGTCTGAACCTTTAAAGTGAATAAACGATGATGAAGGATGTGAACAGAGGAGGCCGTGCATGTAACGTTCAAACAACGCCTCCTTTAAAGGCCTGTGTGTTTGTGCAAACAGCATCACAGCGCCTTGTTCCGTGTAACATTATTATCATATATATATATATATATATATATATATATAATCCAAATCACATCCATAACCTTAACCACTCTTGTTTCTCACTCGTGCTCAGTCTAGAGATTATTGTTCATAACGTCTTAGTTCTGATGGTCAATTTTAGTCAAAATCATCTTAAAAACCAACAATTAAATAAAGAACATCATAAATAATCAAACTGCTCCCCCCCCCTCTAGGATCCAGCCGTGGTGTCTGCTGCTTCAGAAGCTAAGATGACACATCTTTTGGTAAAAGTCAGACGATTAAAACATTTAAGGTGTGATGTGTTCCTCCAGATGTGTGACCTGTGATCTGTGTTGGTTTCAGGAGGAGCAGCAGCTGAAGCAGGAGCACCTCCTCTCTCAGGTGAGTCTCTCTCTGTCTCTCGTTTCCTCACTCCTGGAGGTCTGCTGAAGACAGACTGGGAGGAACAACAGACTCAAACACCAGCTGTGCTGGAGGAGCCTCTAGTGGTGGTGATGGGAACTGAAGACACTACATGTTTATCTTTCCCCTCCTCTCCTGAGTATCTCTCTGTCCTCATCTCAACAGATGTTGTTGCCTTAAAGCTCTTTAAACTTGACTGTGTTTTAGTTTTAGGGAACAATGAAAGCAGTATTCTGGTAGTGATCTTCATACAGCATCAGTGAAGTGATCAGCAGCTCCTTGGTCCAAGCTCTATCTCCATCTGTCCATGTAATTTCAGGAGAAACCATTCTCGTGTTTCTTCCTGTTCTTGTTGAGGCTCTTACTGAAGACCACGTCCTTTACGTCCTCATGAATGGAGCTTCCACAGCCTCTACTCTGACACTTTTCCTCCCCTCTCACAGCGACTGACCCGCTCTAATCGTCTCTCTCAGGTGAAGGAGAGGCTCCGGCTGGAGGTGCAGGATGTGAAAGCCCAGCTCGAGGCGGCGGCGGCGGTGGACTCTGACGACCGGCTGCGTCTACAGCAGGAGGTCTCTGGTCTGGTTGAGCGGATGTTGTCTTACCAGACGGACAGCCGGTCCGCTGCTGCCGGCCTCCGCCTCAGGATCCAGGCTTTGGAGGCCCAGAATGCAAAGGTGACGCACCGCTGAGGAAGCACACAGCCGTGTAGTCCTTTAGTCTTTTCCTTTTCCAATGTGACTCCCTGTTTCTTGCAGCTGTCCCAGGAGTGGTCGTCCATCCAGCTGAGGCCTCCTCCTGCACCCTGTCCCGACACCAGCAGCCCCCCCGTCCAAAACCACCTGACCCCGGAGCTCCAGCAGGCCATGGAGAAGTGGCTCACGGACCGCCTCAAGGTGGGAGGAGGGACTTCAGACACCGACGTTAAAACCCATAATATTACATTCACAGTACAAGTGACCGTTAGTTCTTGATTCTTCTGATTACAGACAGACAGGAGAACCAAAACCAGCTTCACTTTTAAGCTTCATTCAGAATGTTTTCACCTGTTTTATAGAATAGTTCAGATTCACCAAACTCACACAACAACACAAACTGTTAGACAGATGGAGGCAGCAGCAGACCAACAGCTGTTCTGAGAGGTAGAACCAGTGTTCTATGAATGAGTCTGGTGTCTTTGTAGAGAGCATAGATAACTTTAAAACTATTCTAAATACAGCGTCACTTGAACTGATCTCGATTGTTTTAGGAGTCTATAACACGTCCACTCTGGTACTGGTACTCCTGTCTGTTTCTACTGTACTAATACACAGAGTATGTAATAGTACACATCTCCTCACCGTATGAACTGTGTGTGAACGTGAACCAGAAGCAGGACGACAGAGGAAGCTGCTCAGACTGTGGACGACCGATGGCTGACAAAATGGCCGACTTTGCACTGGAGACTCAAGGTTGGGAACATCGCTTACCTTCATTCACCAATGTTCAAAAGAAACAATGAGAACATGTTTAGTTATTGGCTTGTCTTCCAAATTTCTTTTGTGTGTGTGTATGTGTGTGTGTGTATGTGTGTATGTGTGTGTGTGTGTGTGTGTGTGTGTGTGTGTGTGTGTGTGTGTAGGTGCCAGTGTGATCAGTACCAGGTGTTCAGAGACGTATCGTATTCGTTCAGCGTGTGTGACTCTGTTTGGAATCCCTCTCTGGTATCCGACTGAAAGCCCTCGCACTGTTATTCAGGTAAAGTGAAGTCAAAGCTTCTTCTGTTAAAGCTGCATTCTCTCTAGTGTCCACCAGGGGGCGACTCCT